CATACGCTATTTGTTAACTCATGGTACTGGAGCCCACGTGCACCATTGGTTTCGAATCAGGGTTTTCCAACTCCGCCAGGTGAACTTTCCGTATCCACCAACCCGGTTAAAGCGCCGGACATTCGTTTTTCGTCCTCTCGATTTCGTAAACAACATCCCCGCCACTACAGTACTACTAGCAATCTTTTTCTTTTGATTCTTACATTCTCCCAAGTGTTCTGATATATAAAAGAAAATATGTACTAAGTGCTTTTTTTAATATTCTAGACTTTTTATTAACTAGTCAATGGAATACTGAACAATTTCAACAGATAGTTTTTGAAATGAAAACACCAAGCAATTTTCAGTTCATAAACTATTCTTTATATATATGGCTTTATTCAATATCATATTTTTGGTACAATATAGAATTCTCAGCACAAAACATTTCAACACGTTTCCTTTTCTTATTTGTTGATCGATATTTGCGATAAATATTGGGTAATCACCAGTCCAGGAATCGACATCTGAATAATGTTCATTCTTTTCAATCCATATTGTCAGCCATCACGATGTCTCTGATGATTTTACTTTTTTGTAACCTGTACAACGAAAGGTCATAAACTTTTCATATACGCGCCTGATTAGATTATGCGATTAATAGACATAATGATGTGTTAAAACAAATAAAAAAATAGATAACTTGGTGAAATATCTAGATGGCGGGAACGGGTAACCTAGATATTCAAGAAGGTTGCCAAATGTAATACACGATTAAAATATTTTTTTGACTGATTTATGTCCATTTCAATGACTTACTTTAAACATATTGATTCTCTCTTAAGTTGGTTGCTTGTAAAATCTATTTGACACTCTATCATGTGTATAAAACCAATCGATTGTGAAACGGATGTAATTCCACAAGCTAAAATCAACTCGATCATTGTTCTCCTGTTTATTTTATTTATTTCATATACATAAATACATTCTGGTACAACAAAGCTATCAAGAAAGTACGAACCATAAAGATAAACGAGTAACAAAAGAGAAAATGGTAGTACAATCAGTGAATAAATGAATAATATTGTATTTTTAATAAGAGATACAGTGCAATTAATGGAGTAAACGATACAGTAAGATTGCCATTAACTTCTTTTCTGAATCACATGTAACAACATTTCAAGCTATCTCTAGGACTTTAATTGAGGAGTCGTGATCACAACTAAGTTATTTATTAATCACATATAAAGTACATTTATTATGGAGTGGTGGTTTAGTGCGTTCGATTTTTAACCATTAAACCCCTGTCTTGAACTAGGATCCACCTATTTTGGTTAGGGTAACTAGGTAGTATCATTAGCTCTCACGCTTAGAGTGTGGCTTACATCGAATGAGTTAATTATAATAACAGATGCTAGTCCTGAACAACACATTTTTATACCACGGCACTATATCATAAACTGACCACTTTCACTTTTCCCAAAGTTTCAGTCAGCAAATAATGCACAAAGTGCAAGCCACTGGGACGATATTTATAAGACATGTCCAAGTCATCAAAGCTGGGCTGAGTTGTCACTGTGACCGAAAACACAACATTGAACAACAGTATTATTAATACGATGTTCCTGCCGAACGTTAGCAACCTTTGGAGACAACGATAGTCAAATACAGATAGTGAACGATAACCTCAATTTAGATAATGGGTTTCATAAACATAGAAGTGAACCACTCTCACAAACCCGTTGTAAAATCGACTGTTTACAGCAAGATTAACATCGTGACGGCTCTAGTTATGATTTAGGTTTGATATAAGCCACAACACCTTTTACTACACATAGTTAAATGTAATTGCTCACGCCACCACCAGCACTCATACCATCCAGCAACACGAAATTTTCAATTGTTTTTGACTACTCACCATAAGAAGTGAATGTAGACACAGTCCCTGCCAGTCTCCCAGGAATATTTTACATTTAAATGTAAAATATATGTCATGCAGACACTAAATATATAATGTATCTAGACATGTACATGATGGCATACACTACCAACTTTGTTTCGAACTTAGATATTTAGGTATCGCGAGTTCGTTAGATAGATTATACCTATATGTAATTTGTAAACAAACTTCCTTCTGTGTATTCTAACCTTTTTAAAGTTTTACCAAGTTTGAGTTTTTTCTTCCTTCACTATGAAAGCATCATAACAGACTATATGTTGATTTCGAAACAAATTAAGTTAAATGTATTACAAAAAGAGGAATTTTTTCTTTGGATCATGATTGAAGTTAAAATGTTTGCTTTTTTGAAATTTTCATTATTTCCAGTCTCCAATGTTTGTTTCTCTTTTTTTTAATGACAGGAAATTACAATCACATCCACCTACACGTACAATGATCTTATCACATGATCTGGATACAGCTGCCTTACTTGCTAATCATAGTAACAGTAAAATTAATTCTAACATGAATTTAGGTTTTAAACAAATTTTAAATGGTGGAAATAATATATCAGATTCTATACAGGAAGATTCACACTGTCTAACTACCAAATTGTCAGTTCCATCAGATTTCAATAATAATTTACCGTCATCCCTATTGCCTGTATCATCGAACTTCAACTGGGGCATATTGAATAACAATCAAGAATGGTTGAGATTGGCTAATATTGGTTGTAATAACTTGTTGCCATCATCATTAACAGCATTTCATGAATTATGGCAATTATCTGATCGAGAATTTCGGAATAATAATTTATTTTTAGCCTCTCAATTAGTTAAAGCTCATCAAAATTTAAACAATCTTACATTATCTACAAATAACGATGGAATTATTACAAAGGTAAGTTTACTTATTTTTATCAATACACCAAGAAATGTAGAATATTTTTATTATGGAGAAAAAGTTACAATAAGTCAGTCGTTATCAACATACAACCTAGAACAATGTGCTAGCTATAGCTCAAATCAAGACATTTTTAAATCCTCAACCACCGCCAAGTTTGACGCGCAATAAGTTAGAGAGAAGCTAAAGGTGACCGATCGAAGGCGTGAAACTATCCACCGTTGAAACGAACTATATTAATAGGTGATCAACTGGTCGAAATCCGCGCAAACACTGTAAGCAACGATTGGATGACAGCTCACGATGGTATAGATTGATGTAATGCTCCTCCGAAAACCTGAGTATTTTTATTCTAAAAACCCTCTACTTCTTTTCATTTTCTTCATGTCATATCACCTCTATTTTTATTCTGCCACCGTTGCTAAGATTTCTACTTTTACTAACTACTATTCCGTCATCTGTCTCGAAAATTACATCTCACAGCCACTTAGTGGCAATTTCGTCAGGTTTGCGTATGTCCCAAATTCTACGGCACTTATGACTAATCTGATGAAGAAATGCTCGAGTACTTAGCGTTGATAACATAACAAACTATCTGATATTATTCAGACCATGTAGCGTTCTGAACCAGAGAAACTTGAACAGCACATGTTATCCAATTTATCTCGTCTTATAGTCTCCGGGACTTGAAACAGTTTAGCTGACTAAGAGATATTAGTTGTAATGGTAGCGAATATTCACTGGCTGAAATGGTCGGGATTTATTACGTATGTCTAATCACAGCCTACTTTGACGAGCGGACGTAGGGGTTGTTTGGAAGAAAGACTGATTCGAGTTAATTTAGTAAGTTTAGATTTCTCAATTAGGGTTCCTGCGAACAGTGGTTTGAGATGCCAAGTGACACAAATCAGAGTCGGTCACACAACAACGCAAATGCATTTAATCCATCTTACTCTAGATTTCGAATTCCAGCATCCTCTCATGCATAACTTGTTGGCAAGCCTGTCATCATTTCAATCCCTGTTGTTAAGTTCATCCCGTCATATCTTTGTTTAATTTTTTTTATGTAAACACAACCATTGGCACAAGAGGGCACCAAGTACATATGCGCCACATCAATCATACGATTTGTGTGAGGTATGGATACTGCTCGGGTGCCCAAACCCAAGCAGGTGGTCTTAGGAGACCACACTCTGAGCCTTTGACCTAAAGGTCTAATCAACAAAGCAGTAGACCATCGTAAGGAGATGCAGTCTAATGGTAATTGGTGACCAACGATAGATTCATACGCCAGTTGTTTCCTTAGGATCTTGGAGCTCATGTGCACCATTGGTTTGGAATCAGAGTTTTCTAACCCCCCTAGGTAGATCCTCCGAATATCCGTTTTTCGTCCTCTCAACTTCGTAAACACCCTCGCCACGACAAGGTAGTGAGTAGGATCTTCTTGGCAATGGCTGTATACGCGTGGTCATGTGAGAGCATTTTGAGATTGACAGCTCACTCTCCCCACTCTTGGCCGTATCAGGGCATTTTGGGGGCCCGTCATGATAATGTGGTGTGTTAATTTGTGTCAGACGCTACATTTGATTACCATTGACTAAAAATGTTTTTTACAGGTATGAAGATTAATTTCTAGTTATTAGACTAATGATTATACATTTAATTTTTTACTGTCGCATAATCTAACTACTCTTTTTTATCACAATTTAAACGTATTGTTTAGAATGAAAACATAAGAAATTCCACACATGAAGAATCTCTTTCTACATCTGATGGCCCAACTGATTTAAGCGCCACTACAAATATTAATGATTTTCCACTAAACCGAAAACATCGACATACAGATCAATTATCTACATCACCCATATCAATTTCAAGTGCATTATCGCCACCATTTTGGGCATCGAAATGTTCTCGATCTCCAGAAGAAGGAGAACAAGGACAAGCAGACAAACATAAAGAAACCACTATGAAAAATCATTTTTTCTTAAATCCAACCACTTTTTATGTAATGCAATCCTAGATTTTATTATTATCATTATAAAGATTATGATTTACTACCATTATTGCTCTTTCCCTTTTATTCTAATAAAAAAACACATTTTAAAGAAAAAAACAGATTAAAAATTATAAAACAAATACCCTACCCCCCTCCTAGATCTGATGAAACAATTTTTTTAAAAAAGAAACATAACATTAATAATAACCGATCAATATATAAACATTATACATACAAGGAATGCTATAATAATACACTAGAGTTAAATATTATTATTTCCATTATGTACAAGAATTATTCTTTAATATGAGAAAAAAATTTCCAGCAAAAAGAAAGTAAATGGGTTTCTTTCTTTTCCCAAAATTCTTGTTATCATTTATATAGAGATATTTTTTGTTCACAGGGAGATAATTTAAACGAAACAATGAATTAGTGAATGTTTAATTTTTATTTTTTTTACTTTCAAAAAAAGAAAAAAAATGCAAGTATAATAAAATAGCCGTGATACTGACAATAATAATACAATGTCGATTGAATTAATGTTCACATATCAAAATCTATTCGTTTTGTAGTGAATCCACCTGGACCGACTAATGTGACTGTACGTGATGAACTTGTTCCAGAAGTGACTGTGAATGGAGATGAATTAGCTACATATGTGGTGGTTGTACTGCCACTACCTGCTGGACGTTTTAAACCCATTGTTAAATTGGCCATTGATGCACGACGTTCAGCAGAGCTTATCATTAGATTAACATCTTGTAAATCTTTACCAGTACTTCGACCAACTGTAAAAATAACTTTTTTCGGAGATAGATTTACTTGTTGTTTAACTGGACTGATGAATATATTACGATTACTGGCTAGACGCCTACAATGTAAAAATAGTTATGATAAACTAGTTATCGCGAATTAATGATAATTTTATAAATGGATATAGATGGTTGTTACTAAAAGATGATTACTATAGAATCTAAAATTTTTCTTACTGTAGTAATGTGACAAGAATCCTTTTTGATTGGTTTTAAATGCGATAAATAAGACGTGTTTCTACATTTTCATATTCCAGCCTTAATTCACTACCAGATACACAGATTCGTAATATTTGACTTCGAGTCACGGCTAGTGAAACTTCCAGGTTGTCCAAACTGAAGTAGGTCGAGAGGAGTTATTTGTTAGAATGAATTTTAAGAAATTAGCTTTAATCAAAATAATTAGTCTAAAGTATAATAATATATAAACATAGACATGGCAAGCAAAGATGGATAGTGGCTAGCAGTGGAATCCAGGACGCGCGTTTCGTCCTTTTTTATTACAAATTAATAATAAAATAAAGTGTAACAGTCGCCATATAAAAATTGGACACATTTTCATTAGAAATGAGCCAGATAAACTTAATATTCCACTAATAGTCTATGCGATGACGGGAATGTTTTGAATTTTATCTAACCCTTATGATGCTGTCATAGTGTTCTAGTATTGTTGTGAAATAATTATTATAGTAGAAAGCATGAGTCAATTGAAGCTAGACCACCATGGAAAACCTGGAAACACTGGACGGCCGTTTCGTCCTATTATGGGACTCCTCAGCAGTGCGCATCCACGAACCCGCTCTCGCGAGCGAGACTCGAACCCAGGACCCACCAGTCTCAAGCCGAAGCCCTTAACCGATAGACCACTGAGCTGGCATCCAACGGTGTTAATGTCTAACTTCAACTGATCCACGAAGTTGAGCAACCATTCACCAATTGTCTTCAGTGAGTTCCTATCTCACAACAGACGTGGTTTTGAACTCCACTGGTCATTGCTTCTCACTAGAGCTCGTGGATGCGCACTGCTGAGGAGTCCCATAATAGGACGAAACGGCCGTCCAGTGTTTCCAGGTTTTCCATGGTGGTCTAGCTTCAATTGACTCATGCTTTCTACTATGAAAAATACTAAATCTCCACAAAAACCCATTCTATAATTAATATAAAATAATTATTAGTTTAGTAAAGATTACCTATTTCATTATACACACATATATGCATAAATAACGAGTAGAATGTGAACAATTGTTGTAGTACATTATTTATTCACTTACCTAGCTTGCATTATATCTCCCGATGTAGTTGCTGGATCAAGACCTAAATTCAGGGCCGCAGCAGTATTTGAAGCTAAATTATTTACAAGCATAGGCATTGGGGATAGTGATGGATGAAGTGTCCATTGATTCAATACAGTGTTATCATCAGTTGAATCAGAGCCTAATGAATGATGTCCTGTTCGACAATTAGGATCTGTCTCATTATATGTAGAACGTACAGATGCTGCCTTTTTAATGAAGTCTTTCATTTGTGGTAAAAAAATAACATTGTAAAATCGAGACAAATCGCCGCGTTCTTCCGTATTGCCACGACCATAAGAAACTCGGTTGATGAGTACACGACGATATATATCTCGATAAGATTGAGGTTGCATTCTATATACCTGTAAATTGGATTGGAAATTTGGTCATTATGGTTTTATACCTATAGGGTGTCTTTCAATGCTTCTAAGTCTATTGAATAAACTTCATACTAACAAGTATCTAGAAAATCGATGATAATAATGCAGCGAATTCGTTATGTGCAAGTGTTCATGAGCTTAATTTATTACACAACGATCGTGGTATTACTTAACTGATCTGGTCTAGGACAGGTGAATTTGATAGGGCTTGCACTTAATTAACTAATAACTTAACGATTGGTGCAAAATCTAAAGACATGAGAACTTCAAATGTTTTTAACACTATGTTACTATAAAAAAAGAAGACTATCCTTTTGCATATCATTTCCAAACGATATTGGAACTGGGCAATAATGGAAAACCAAAGATTATGTACCAAGAAATAGAGTCAAAGCAGAATTCAGATTAAAAACACGTGATTTTATAGGTAATTTTAACAATAGGCCTCTGCTCTATCTTTTGAGCCACACTTTTTCATGAAGATTGGGAATATAACACACGACCACCTTAAAGAAGAGAATACAGGATGCAAGTTCCAACCTACCATTTAATAACTGGAACTGTCTAGCATCTACAATACTGATGCATACATATGTATGTGAGAATCTGATATTTGTTTCTCATCCACTAACCTTGTATTCTAAACATTTGTACTTTAATTGAAATCATAAACTGATCCAAGTTAAACCACCAATGAAAACCCGGAAGCACTGGGCGACCGTTTCGTAATAGTAGGGGACTCCTATGTAATGGACATCCACGATTCGTCACGCGGAAATCGAACACAGGACCTTCGATCATGCGCGCGAACGCTTGCTAAACATCTAGACCAGTGAGCTGCCATCTAAAAATGTTAGTGTCTAACCTCAATCAACGCACGACATTGTGCAACTATCTTCCAATGGTGGTCTAACCTAAGTTGGTTAGTGATTTCAATGAGACTCAAGAAACTCTACAACCCCATACTGAACATTTGCAGCTCGTTAATTAAATCCGTCTATCATTAGCATTATACAAGATAACTTATGACAATCTTTAAGAAATCTAGGAAAAAACAACTCTGAACCACTTACTTGAACTATATCAACAAATGTAAGTGGACGATAGAGAACAAGCTTGCATATACCATAAATGCAACACATTATAACTTGATCTAAACAGCGATCTCTAAGCAATTCAGTTTCATGTACAATTACTTGTTCTATACATGTCCAAATTTTTGCCATAAGTTCACGAGTAAGACTTAAACGTTCGCATAAATCTCTTAAACGCAAACTGGCCACTTGATAAGTTTGTCGAAAAAATATGGCAATTGAATCATGTCGAACAGGAAAATAATTAATTGTATCGCCTGAACCAGACGTAACAACAGTACTATTACTACTACTGTTAACTGTGTTAGTAGCGCTAGTCACAGTAACTGCAGTGTTTACAATATAATCATCAACTAATTGCTCTGTTATCGGTTTCACATCAATATTCACATTATCCTGATTGATGCCAACATCGTCTGGTGTTCCGAGAAGACCAGAATCCATATTAACTGAATCAGTAGCTCCACTTGCGAGTAGTTGAGCTGCTGCTTGAGCAGATTCATCTTCAACTCCCGATGAAAGTAGACGATAGATACCAGGTTGATTTGTTGAAAATTCAATATTTTGTTGCCGACTAACTGATACTTTAGATGTAATACTATTACTACTATTATTATTGTTACTACTTGTAAGACGAGGTTGTTTAGCATAAGAACTTGGTGAGAGTTTTATATTTTTGGTAGATATTACATTAGAAGTTAATAATTTTTGACCAGGAGATATAGTAGTGGCATTTCTTGTGTAAAAACCATTAGAACCCTGTGTAATAAAGAAAAAAAAAAGTAATATGAGAAAAATAACCAATGAATCAGCAAACAATAATATTAGTAATTATTATTGTACAGATTCACGTAATCAGTATTGAGTTACATCTAAATTGTACGACGGTTGATGATACTCGACTAACCTAGTACTAAAGTAGGAGAGACAAAGCTTAAACCTGTGACCTGCTACTGAATGTTAATTGAGTGCTTTAACTGCTAAGCCGCTGTTTCACAAAAGTCCAACACAGTACGTATAATTCAAGTTGTTTAAATGAGAAAGTCTAGCTGTAGTAAGATATTTTATGAAGTATTATGACTAGACTTTAATCAAGTAGAAATCGAAATATACACTCGAAATCAGTAGATGTAACACCCCCCACATACATAAAAAAACACTTCAAAACAGCTTACACTAAACGAACCTACTTCAGTAACTACTTTTGAACAAATCCCTAACTAATAAGAAAATAGGAATTTTATTCCCTGTTCCAACGAATGATGATACAATGAGAAAAACATAAACCAAGTATTTAGAATGTGGGTTTTATAACAACTAATTTACTGGTATGTGTGTAGTTCAAATGTCTAAACTAATGATTAATAAAAAAACTGTCTGGTGATTCTAGTCATATTTATATAGTTGAGATCATGAGTCAATTGAAGCTAGACCAACATGGAAAACCTGGAAGCACTGTTTGACGGCCGTTTCGTCCTATTGTGGGACTCCTCGGCAGTGTGCATCCACGATCCCGCCTCGTGAGATTCCAACCCAGGACCTATTAGTTTCGCGTGCGAGTACTGAACCTTTAGACCACTGAGCTGGCATCCAACGGTGTTAATGTCTAACTTCAACCAATCCACGAAGTTGAGCAACTATTCACCAATGTCTTCCTGGTTTCGAATCTCGCGAGGCGGGGATCGTGGATACGCAGTGCTGAGGAATCCCACAATAGGACGAAACGGCCGTCCAGTGCCTCGAGGTTTCCATGATGGTCTAGCTTCAATTGACTTATGATTTCAACTACATAAAATTACTAAAATCTCCACAAAACCCCTTTTTATTCTAGTCATATCTTTGAAAAATATTGTACTATAAAACTTCAGTTGTTTCAAACAAGTCAACAAAATAAATAGTATGCTGTGACAATAGGTAATTATAGTTTATGAATAGAAAATGAAAATTATATGCGTAAATATATATTTGTGCTTTAAACTTAATCAATTTTTTTTCACTACTAAATTTTTAACTTAAAACTTTAAGATTAATGATGAGAATTGATTTGACAAAAAAGACAATCTGTACTTTGTTCATGTATCTATGTGTGCGTTTAATTATTTATTGAAATTCTCAAAAACAGAGGGGAAAAAGGACAAAAATTAACCTTGTTTAGCAGAATTTAGTACAAGTTGATCATAATCACTACAATAAACCATCTCTACGATCAGTAGTAGGAAACTTTTTTGAAGATGTATTATTAATATATTTCAGTTGGCATAATCCGGTGAGACTATAATTTATGGACGACGTTTGAGAGACGCTAAAAAGACCTTGAGAATTTCTACCTACATACTACGGCTATATGACGGTTATAAACAGTGTGAGGAATTAGGATTAATCACAATTGATTGATCACTGGGTGGTGATCAATGTCATGCGTGTCAAGTCCTTCTTAGTGATGATTGAATGCTATCGATCAAGTTGCAATGTGGCCACCAGTCTAGGTGGCTCGACAGTGCCCGTTCACATTGAATAGTACGAAGTGCAGTTTAAGTGTGAGGGCCAATAATACTGCTCGGTTGCCCGAACTGAAGGAAATGGAGTAACGTTTGAACCTGAAACTTAGTAATTGAAAGTGAGAAGTCCTAATTACTAGGCCACTGTTCCACACACAAATATCGCATTATAATAATTATAAATTCATCACAATATCGAATGAATATTTTTCTTACTTGATCAAGTTTTTCAGGAGGTATAACTTCTTCAATAGATGGAGCTCGTCCGGTTGCTTTCAGTACTGACCATATTGAAGAGTTCGTACGCCATGCATATGAATCTAGAATAAATTCAACAACTTGATTCAGATATTTAACAATTTCACGCGGTAAATCTAGACTACGAACTAAAACTTCGATGACCTGTTAGAAAAAAAGAAAGAAACATTCTCATTGTTAAAATAGAAAAGAGACGAACAGTAACAATTGGTGTCTCGCACAAAAACTGTTAAGAAAAAAATAGAGTAAAACAGAAAATATGTCAAAAGAGCATGAAATCAGATTGTAAGAAGCCATGCTACTTTGTCACAGTCATGTAAACTTTGATAAGACTTGAAAAGACTTATTTTACTTACTTATTACACCGTTATAAGACATCCAGTTACCACTAAAGTTGTCGGTTATTTGAATTATCCCCTAGTATGTCACTTAACATTTCTGTCTGGAAGTTTATATTATTGCCCAATCAGCTTTTGTAATAAGGTTTCATCATCAGCAACTGTATTTCTCTAGGACAATTTTATCACAAAGTATGATTATCGAACACGAATGCTTTGTCATTGTTTTCCTTGCTCAAATTATCTACAAAGTGCATGGAGGACAGCTGAAAGATGCATTCCACGTAAGGACCAGAGTCAGACAAGGCTGCTTACTCTCGCCTTTCTCTTTCTTCTGGTGGTTGACTGGATTATGAAGACTTCCACATCTGAAGGGAAGCACGGAATACAATCGATAGCTTGGATACAACTAAACGATTAGAAATTTGCAGATGACCTAGCTCTTCTATCCCATACACATCAACAAATGCAGGTCAAGACAGCCAGTGTAGCAACAGGCCTTCACATACACAAGGGGAAAACCAAGATCCTGTAACAAAACACTCGGAGCAACAACCCAATCTCACTTGATGGAGCAATTCTGGAAGATGTGAAAACATTCAAGCACCTGGGTAGCAGCACCATCGATAAACAAGGAGAATCTGATGCAGACGTAAAAGCAAGGATTGGCGAAGCAAAGGTAGCATTCATAGAGTTCAATAGCAAATGGAACTCAAAACAGCCTTCAACTAATACCAAAGTTGGAATCTTCAATACGAACGTCAAGACATTTCTACTGTATAGAGCTGAAACTACAACAATCATCATCAAAAAAGTAAAAGTATTTATAAGCATTTGTCTACGCAAAATACTCAATGTCTGTTAACCGAAAACCATCAGCAGCAGCCTACTGTAAGAGAGAACAGACCAGTTGAGGAGGAAATTAGGAAAAGACGCTGGAGGTGGATAGGACATACATTAAGTAATTGTATTTAGATGCTTTTACTGTTTATCGTCCTCGTGATTGATTTGAACAGATATTCGTGGTGACGAGAACTCAGGTGGGGAAGACGGATTTATTATTCAATGCAAAATCGCACAGTGGTTTAGTGCGATATGAAGATCATACATTAAATACATTATGAGTACATCTTCCTTCAGTTATCCTTTATATACTCATGATTCTTTAAATTCTGTTGTTAATATAATTGCTCTCTATTTCTCTTCCTGTTTTCTTCAATTTACTCTTCTAATTTTTCCATTGACAATCCAATCTTCTAAATTCGCTGTCGACAGGCATTCCACTTCTGACTGGTGGTACATACTGCTTATATCAGTCAACATAAATAGGATACACCTCACTTCAAGGGATTGGGAAGAATTTTGTTGGAGGTGTTTCTTTCAATTCACTTAATTGATAACCTATTGGATTATTTAAGAGATTTTCAAAAAAGAAAACTAATCATATAGTAAAAATTAATAAAACAGAATGTTTATTTTTCATATATTTCTTCGTTGATTAGATATCTTCCAAAATACATAAAACATTGATCATGCTTACTTTATAGAATTGAACTGAATCAAGATTTAACGCTTCTAATATCCATGGAAAATGATGGTTTGGTGGATCACAACTCAACATAACTATTTCCATGCAACAAATGAATAAAGCCCGATGGAATGTATCTTGGGTTAATAGTGTGGTAAGATCAGGACGACTACAACGTATTTGATTTGAATTATTTGAACTGGAGAGTGAATTAGTAGTAGTAGTTAGTCTTTTTTCAATTCTACGAATTTCATCTAAGAGAATATTTTCTAAAGCCATATAATATAGTGGATAACATAATTGTAATCGTTGTTGTGCAGCCGAAATTGCTAAATTATTTGTTGTTGATGTTATTGTTACTCCACTACTATTGACTGATTTTAACCCAGCATAAGCTCGTTGAAATTGTTCACCTAAATTATCCAATCTTTCACGAATTGTAGAGAGTGGTGATACAGAACAATGTGCATTGATAAGATGGACTAAAGATTCACATGGCTCATTGTTTCGACCATTTAACAAAATCTGTACAAAGAAAAAATTATATAAAAAGAATATTCATTTGATTGTATGAATGTTTCTTTTGTTGGTAACAGTAAAACAAGAAGTCCCACTACTGTATAATGTGCATAAACGAACAAACACTACAGATATATAGATAGCACGTTTTATATAAAAAAAATGACGATATCGCCGACTCAGGTTAAAGAATTCCTTAGAAAAAAAACAATTTAAGTAGCATGCATAATGTACCCTTTTAGAGTACGACGAGGTTATTAATATTCTTCTGATAATACGCCTTTATTTGTAACTTTATATATATATTACAGAAGATGACTGGATTTTGTTTGCTGGTCAGTGATAAATGAGATTAGTTTAAGCTTATGAACCTCATTAGTTCGTAACTGCATGCAACAATACAGACCAGCAATTTGTGACGAGCAAGAAGAAAAGCTGATCTGTCGTGATCTGTTTTAACAATTTATATGTTATGTTTTTACAGTTCTACACATCTTTCGACAAAAATTTGCAACTTGCCAAACAAGTATACAAGTTTATGCACCGGGTTGCAGTGTTAACAGCACCACTAACTAGTTGCTTGAACTACCGAAATTTCAAAAATACCAATGAATCACTTTCAAAGCCCTCCGTTCATGGAAGCAAATTTGAAATAACTTATGCATTATTTGATTACACTACTCATAAGTAACTATTACTATATATATTTCTTTCTAATGGTAATTCCCATTGACCACTTGATGAACATTGGCTTCTCAAATTTAGACAACAACAACAATGTTTGTATTGTTACCAGTACAATAGCTTGTTGAAACTTCATCAGTGCTTTTTGGTCAATTCAGATTTTATTATACTTTTGCATTCAGAACAATGTGTCGTTCTCTGATAGGCAAATAATTCTTTAAGAAAACGAACGCTGATTGTGAGATACAAACACATCACTTAGATACTCAGTCTGAGATATTAACATGATACCATTCGAACCCTGTCTGGTCTCCTGTAGGACCGAGATATTCGTAACCGTCTGGTTATTGAGTAGTGACCACTGCCAGACTAAATGCAACTTTCCAGAAAAGAAATGAAAGATAAATTTGAATAGTTGTCGAACTATAAAACACTGAAATCTATATTGAAATAAGTAATTAAAGCAACTTTATTTAAAAAATACTATGGCTCAACACCTTTAGAGCCAACGAGCTCTTGTTTATGAAAATGAAACTTGTAAAAATGCTAAACGTATCATAGTTAATTAATGATGCGTAATGTCGACTCTGGGATATATATATATATATATATATAGGTTGATTGATTGATTGATTGATTTAAACACATAGATATTGGTACAAAAGGGCACCAGGTACATATGTGCCACACAAAATAATGAAAGTAGGAAGAGAAGGGATGAAAAGATAAGGCGGGCTGAAATGTACAACCAGAAGACTCTTTCAGTTAGGAAAGTTAGAACCATTCTTTATGTAGAAAGTAAAAGAAGGTTGCAGCAGGATCGCCACTGGCTTCTATTCTGAGCCATATATGATAACGTCTCTAGCCACTGTGTTGCACTATCTCTCGGACCCCAGCCAGGGAGTCGTGAAGGACCAACAAAAGCTAGCCCTTTTCAGCTCTCTTTCATGCCACGACACCATGTCATACACTGACCTCCTCTCCGCTTTCTCCAACCAGACCCATAGTCGGCAAATAATCCACGACGTGGAAGTCTCTGGGACGACATTCGTAAAACATGTCCAAGCCACCGAAGTCGGTGTTTCAAGATGGTGACACCAATTGAATTATCGTCTCTGCGCCCGAACACACGATGCCGAACCTCTGCATTACTAACATGGTGTTGCCACTGGATGTCAGCAATCCTTCGGAGACAACGATGATCGAACACAGAGAGACGTCTAACATCCTCAACTCGGAGAGGCCAGGTTTCACAAGCATAGAGCAAAACTGCTCTCACCGACGCGTTGTAGATCCGACCTTTTACGGCCAGACTAACATCACGAAGGCGCCAAAGATGGCCCAGATTGGCATAAGCCACTCTGGCTTTCATTATACGTGCATCAATCTCATCACTCACGCCACCACCAGCACTTATATAGCTACCTAGATACACGAACTTCTCAACTACTACAATCTGCTCACCATCCAGAGTGAGTACAGGATGAGAATCCTGCCAGTCTTGTAGGAGTACTTTGCACTTGGAGGGTGCAAAGCACATGCCGTACCTGCGGAAACTGATTGCCAACTGATTAAGTGCTGATTGCATGCCTTGGGCATTATCGCACAGTAAGACAATATCATCCGCATACTAAAGGTCGAGAAGTCGTTCTCCAGGCAACATATCCACACCGCCATTACTTACATCCACCAGAGCTGTTTCCAGAATGTCGTCGATGGCAAAGTTGAAGAGGAATGGTGAGATCGGGCAACCCTGCCTAACCCCACTGATCGAATGGAACAAGGGAGAAAGGTGGTTGTATGCCCTCACTCTGCCTGAGGTGTTCGTATACAGGGCCGTTAAGATGTTAATGAACTTCACAGGCACACCCTTCTTCAATAGACAATCCCAGAGAACAGTCCTGTCCAACGAATCGAAGGCCGCCCTGATATCAAGAAACACTACGATTGTTGGTCTGTGGTAAGTATGACGGTGTTCTAACATTTGGCGGAGGGTGAAGATGTGATCAATGCATCTTCGACCAGAACGAAAACCAGCCTGCACCTCGCAAGTCAATCGTTCTCGGGTTTTAAACAACCTACGAAGAATGATAGAAGCCAATAGTTTGGACGCAATCGAAAGTAGACTTATCCCCCGATAGTTATTGCAGGAACAACGTGAACCCTTTTTAAAGATAGGGACGACTATTGACTCATTCCAAGATGTTGGAACATTTTCTTGCTCCCAAACCTTTGCAAACAACACAGTCAATTCCTTAGTCAGAAAGTCACCACCATCTTTAAAAAGAGCAGGAGGTAAATCATCTGGGCCCGCTGATTTGTAACGTTTCAAGAGTTGGAGTTCCTTGTGGACTTCCGCCTCGTTTGGTGGATCAGTCGTCACCGGTCATGGGGGGCAGGACAAGCTGGTTGATGTTGCCGGAGCAGCAGGCCAGTTGAACTGCCCTTCGAAAAATTCCGCCCATCGTCCAAGACGTCAGGAGATGTTAGTGATTGGCATCCCATCATCCTCGTGGATTGTTTCACTCACATCAGACTTCTTGCTGCCAGTGGCTCGGATGAGTTGGAAGAGCTTCCGGCAATTACCAGATGCAGCTGCTGCTTCCATCTCATTAGCACGCTCCGACCACCAGGCTTCCCGGTCCTTACGCAAGCTTTGCCCGATTTCATTACGTAACAGCCTTCGTTTGTGGTCAAACTCACGGTCACCCGGAGTAGACCGACGGGCTTCCATCAGTTGTAAGGAGCCAGAAGAAACCCAGTGCTTGTAAGCAGGACGTTTCGCGAAGCCGCAAGCGGCTTTACTCGCCATTTTCATGGTGTCGTGAAGATGCAACCAATGCTCATCTATACTTTTCGGTGGGGTGGTAGCTAGCCTAGAGGCTAGCTCCGCTCGATACTTACTTGCAACAGAAAATGCAGCCAGTTTACTAACATCAATCCGTTGGTGGTGGTCAATCCTTCGGCCACTGAAAAGTAAGGTGAGATTGGCGCAGACCAGGGCATGATCAGACTCCAGATAGGTACTCCAAAAGGAGCGGCAGTCTTGCACACAACCACGCCAGCGGTAGCTGATCGCGATGTGATCAATCTGAGTCCAGGCTTGGGATGCAGAAGGAGGACGCCAGGTGGCACACCGGCGATGACTGTGCCGTAAGTTAATGCTGGCCAGAAACAGGTTGTGGTCTGTGCACAGTTGCAGCAAACGGTCCCCGTTATCTGTCCTGCGACCAACAAGTCCCCATCGGCCACCTAGACGACTCTCTTCTGTGCCTAGACGCCCGACCTGTGCATTCAAGTCTCCGGCTAGTACTACAATATCTGTCGAACGCGCTTTCTGGAGAAGAGCTGTTAACTGATGGTAAAACTCATCCTTGATTGCATCCGGGCTGCAATCTGTCGGGGCATAGGCGGAGATCACGAAAAGACACCGTTTCTCACGCCGATTTCTTCTCACTTTGATGGAACTTTCTAATCTAACAGCATATAACCGACTGTTAATGGTGATCCAATCGATTAGTGCTGCCTCAGCCCTAGCGCTTAGTGCGACACCAACGCCAGCAAGACCAGACGAAGATGCCACAGGGTCCCCGGATAAGCGCACGTGGAACAAGCTTTTCGAGGCGACAGATGGAGAGCGGATTTGTAGTACTTCACTAGTCTTGAATACGGGTCTCGGATAGACAGCAAACATCAACATTAAGACTTTCTAAAGACATAGTCAGCCCTATCTGTTGTCTGATATGCATTAGTGTGCGAACGTTGAAGGAAGCCAGCTTGAACGGCGTACGTGGTTTCAGAAAGACTGCCTCAGTATTCATTATCGGTGGAAGCATTCACTTTCAACCAGACAGTGACTGGAGATCGTTTAGATAGGATAGATTTTCCACCAAGAGCGAGCTGCTGCATAAGTTGAAAAGTAAGGTTACACAGATTGGGGATAGAAGGGGGTGAATTAGCGATATGGTAAATAATAATAATAATAATAATAATAATAATAATAATAATAATAATAATAATAATAATAATGTAAATTGTCTTGCTTCTAATGTGAGCAGGAATAGTATCGTCAATTGAGTTCATCATTTCATTCATTTGTGTGTGGGCTGTGATAATGCCCGGGTGCCCAAACCGAAGCAGGTGGTTTTCTTAGGGGGCCACACCCCGAGCCTTTGACCAAAAGGTCTGATCCACAAGGCAGTGGAGCATCGTGAGGAGATGCAGTCCCATGGTAGCCGTTGATCAATGACAGGTTCGTCCGCCATTCGTTCCATCAGGATACTGGAGCCCATGTGCACCATTGGTTTGGAATCAGGGTTTTCCAACTCCCCTAGGTGGACCCTCCGTGTCCACCAACCCGGTTAAAGCGCCGGACATTCGCTTTTCGTCCTCTCACTTTCTTAAACAACACCCCCGCCACGAGAAGGCAGTGAGTAGGACTTCCCTGTCAGAGGCCATATATTCGCTGGCCATGTGAGAGCATTTCGAGAGGGAGAGTAGACTCTCCCCACTCTCGGCCGTACCAGGGCATTTGGGGGCTATATCGGTTGAAGTTGCCACATAACATTAGCACAGTGAAATGTAAAAGTGATATCACTAGTAACAATGTTATTGGTAGTGGAAAAGATTAGAAATAAAAGCCATAATCAGAGGAAATATGGATTCATGGATTGAAAAATAGAAAACTTAAAATAATTAAGAAGCTTTGGATCCAAGAAAAAAACAAAGAATGAATGTACCTATAGCATTGCAAACTATTCTGAGCCATATCACGCAGTTTCTAACCACTATTTACAATAATCATGTAGACTTCAACTACATTCTCTGGATCTATTAGAATGGCTCAGACCAATAGTCAGTAACTTTGTGAACTGATGTCACGTTTTGGATTGTCTGCCCCTAGTCTTCTTCCAGAGTACTCCTACAGCAACAGATGTCCGTCCGTCGAGATGAGCGATGACTGGACATAAGTGAAACATCACAGCCGCCTTTCGATAGATGGAGACCCATGAGATCATTAATCAATTCGCCATCAGCATCGCTCACTCTGTGATCCCAACGTACACGAGAAATGTTTCACAGACGCTTACAATCGAACGCTAGTAATCTACGATTATCCTCTACATTCAAAAGCCATACTTCATAGTCATAAAATGAAACAGAGGGAACTTCCACTCAATAAACTTGTCGTTTAATTGGTAGACAAAATAAAATAAAGGGATGTCTCAGTTTTTAATAAATATAAGCTAAACGAACTTGTAATTGATTGAGATTTTGGCTTCGAGCTTCAGGATTGCTAAAATTAACACCTCCATTAAGACGACTGATAGCACCAGCATTCGCATTACCACGCCGCGTGGTCTCAGTGAAACCTCCAAAACCAGAGTTACTAACTTCCTTAGAACACAACGGAAAAATATAAAGCAAAAAACGAGTTAAAAATCACTATTTAATGGAATAAAATTAGTAAACGTTAATAAAAGGTAAAATAATGGGAACAAACAATTAAGTAATTTAGAGAAAACAGAACGTCTGAGAGATAGAAAGCATTCGCTATCGTATTACAATTGATATGGGTAGACAACAAGTTTCCATAATAGTACTATTTCAGTCCTATTCAGAATGAAACGTCTTGTTTACAAATTTGAATCAACCAACTAGTTTTAAGAAACAAATCAATTGAGTATTTTCAGTTTTATCTGAACTAATTTTTACTTAACAAGATGATATCATGTGGATATTGTTCAATTCAGTTGAAAAATGTTTGCCATAAATATCATACAAATCATGCTACGCTGTTCAACAGAAGTAGAGATGATATTAGATATAAAAGAAAGGTAATTAACTTTTGGAATGAGATGTTACATAATTAGGCTAAATCAATACTCGCAATTGAGAATTGACTACATCAAGACCACCGTGGTAGGAAGTGATAATTTAACAAACTGGTAAGACGATAGGTTTATAAAATGCTAGATGACTAACTTTATTTGAAAATTTCAAATTCTGACATCTATAAATTCCAACCGGTATGGTACTTTATGGATGTTGTCTTGAACATAAGTTGTATGTTAATCTGAGTATGTATTGGGTTATATAAAATAGATGGAAAGTGGTTAGCGGTAGAACTTTTTCCATAATGGCTATACCGAGACAATCTGCACATGATGTCATTATACCTACCAGGACCAATCAAATTTGTCAGAAATATTAACGGGAGAATCCAAACCACTTCAAAGTAAATTATTTACTGGTTTGTGATTATAACGAATAAGCGTCCGAAATTGATCAAATATACAAGTTTAGTAGCAATCAAAATATATCATAAGAATGATAACGGTTACAATAAATTTTAACAAGCGAAAAACCAAAGTCTATAGATATAATGTAAGTTATAAGCGGGAGTTATGAATCAGAGTAACAAATATTTTCGTTATCATCGAAGTAATCCGCTCAGGATGCGTATATACCAACAGAGACTGGCCCTTTATGTCAAAAAAACTCAGACCTTTACATAATCAAAACATCGAAATGTTAAACTAGAGGCATACTAAGAATGAACGAGTCAAAAAATAAACAAATAAACTTACGAGCATATAACGGCGTGCAGATGGTGTTAGACCGACAGGTAGATGGAAATCAGACTGAACAGTACTTTCTCCAATTGATCCAATTTCTTCTGATGCATTCGGGCTCAGATAAATACGTTCATCAAAGTCTCCTGTACCGATAATGTATTCCTCATAATTATTGTTCAAATTTTGAATTGTTATTTCGAAATTTTCCTGTTCTAATAAACTCCCAAGAACTGAAGGGTGAAGTTTGATCAAATCCTTAAAAAAAATATTGCAAACGCCTGTATTTATTGCACAACACATTTTGAAAACATATTTCTAGGACTAAACAGTGGGCACTGAAAATGTTACACAAATGAAATTGCAGATTAGACATTTTCACTCAAGTGAGAGGCCACTTGAATCTTTAAAAAAACGAAACAAGTAAACGATTCGCGCTCAGGATATAGGACTTGTACAAACTGTTTCATAGAAATGATAATTATCAGACAAACTATTGAGTCCAACAATTTACAAATATGCATCATTCACGCAATTCAAACTGACATTTCTATCAGTTGAGCAACTTTTGAAGCAACCTACAGTCTCCATTGAAAAAATCCAGACATGGTATACAAATGTCATAATCTCTATCACGAGTATGATAAACTAATAAGATATACTACTAACACACTCACTTGTAAGTAGTGGGGAAGATTTGTTTGAATACATACGTAATAAGCGAGACTCTAAACAAATAAAACAGAAGCCCAGTTGTTTGGAATACTGGCATTGAGATTTTTCTATTATAATTGGACTATGCATCAGTAACTGGTTTTTACTGTACGGTTTTTAGTCTTTAATTTCATTGGTTATAAATTTCGAAATCTATACCCGATGTACCCGATATACTTAGTACACTACATAAGTCCAAAATCTTTAAGCAATATAATACATAACACAAAAGTATTTATATTATTCAATACAATTAAGCGACTTTTATTTTTACACATCAAGTCATATGATGTACTAATAACTGAAAATGCTTATATCTTTAAAATAATATATGACGCTGCAAGTCCAGAGTGAGCTAAATACATTTGCAATCGCGTAAATACATAACTGTACTCAAGATTGATTCTCTGAAGCATAACTTTTGAGATACACAATACTAACCTTTTCAATCAACCTTAGCATAAATGGTCGGAAAAAGTGTTCTTTCACAGTCTTACATTCAACGTAATTAACATCATTATCTTCACATATTGGGCGTAGCATACAAGTTGGCTCATCATGAGGTGGACACCAAGTTTTGTTTTGAGCAACTGAAGTTAAAAAATCTCTAGGCAAACCATTTTGCTCCATATTGATCAAATCACGTCTTCTGGAAAGCATAACTGCACCAAGAGTCCAGTCCAAACAGCAGGCTAGTAAATGATAAGAATTGACTAAATCATCGGTAACTGCTGGAAAACTTGCTCGAGATTTGATGAATAGCAGCCATGTAAACCTGAATAAGTCAGAACCTGTTGGGCGCACTGAAATTATAAAATCAGAAAAGAATTAGTACAAGCAGACAATTGTTCATATACATCCCAAACATTAGAAGCTATTAGGTGAGTTCCCCGTAATGCATGTCTAAAGTTGGACTGAACACACTGATGAGTGCATTAGTTAAAGTCGGTACAAAACATAAACAACGCAGTGATAAATTAATAGGAAGCGAAATTTGTAAAAAGGTTGGTATTAACAAGGGTAAAGATGGAGAGGAACAAGTCAAGATCATGAGAAAGACAGAAAGTAATGTATAAAACGCAGCTCAGTACAGTGATTCAAGTCTACCAGGGATATTATCGTCAATAGAGTTCATAATTTCATTCATTGATTCAAGTCTACAGAAGTTAGTGTATCTAGGTAGCTATATAAGTGCTGGTGGTGGCGTGAGTGATGAGATCGATGCACGTATAATGAAAGCCAGAGTGGCTTATGCCAATCTGGGCCATCTTTGGCGCCTTCGTGATGTTAGTCTGGCCGTAAAAGGTCGGATCTACAACGCGTCGGTGAGAGCAGTTTTGCTCTATGCTTGTGAAACCTGGCCTCTCCGAGTTGAGGATGCTAGACGTCTCTCTGTGTTCGATCATCGTTGTCTCCGAAGGATTGCTGACATCCAGTGGCAACACCATGTTAGTAATGCAGAGGTTCGGCATCGTGTGTTCGGGCGCAGAGACGATAATTCAATTGGTGTCACCATCTTGAAACACCGACTTCGGTGGCTTGGACATGTTTTACGAATGTCGTCCCAGAGACTTCCACGTCGTGGATTATTTGCCGACTATGGGTCTGGTTGGAGAAAGCGGAGAGGAGGTCAGTGTATGACATGGTGTCGTGGCATGAAAGAGAGCTGAAAAGGGCTAGCTTTTGTTGGTCCTTCACGACTCCCTGGCTGGGGTCCGAGAGATAGTGCAACACAGTGGCTAGAGACGTTATCATATATGGCTCAGAATAGAAGCCAGTGGCGATCCTGCTGCAACCTTCTTTTACTTTCTACATAAAGAATGGTTCTAACTTTCCTAACTGAAAGAGTCTTCTGGTTGTACATTTCAGCCCGCCTTATCTTTTCATCCCTTCTCTTCCTACTTTCATTATTTTGTGTGGCGCATATGTATCTGGTGCCCTTTTGTACCAATATATATGTGTTTAAATAAAATAAAATAATTCAAGTCTACGTAATACCTATTATAATCTAGAACCATAACGCCTACTGTACAGAGATTCAAAAGATTTGAATAATACGTTAAACTAAGTTTCGATAGTGTAATGAGACAAAGATCATCAGAACTATGTGATATATTAGCGTAATACATTTCGAATAATCTGATCAAACATCTACTTAAGAACATTATATATATATATATATATATATATATATATATATATATATATATATATATATAAGGTCAACTAGACTAAAATGGGGATAAGAGGAGACAAGGATAATAAAAGTATAATAATGATGACATTAGCATGATGATCAGGATGATACCTTCAGCTCTAACTTCGCGCGGGTCTATGTTACAAACCTTGTGAGTGGTCGAGAGAACACAGATAATTAAGTCCCACTAGACGATGGTGAAGATTTAGATGGAATTTCGGATGTGCTGAGGGGAGACTTGAGAACGCTGTTTTTCGAATGCTTAAACTCTATTCTGATATGATCCGTTTTGCAAATGGGTGTGTAAAGTGGAGTCGTTGAGTGTACAATACTAGAGCTAGGAAGAGAGAGATTGTAAACTTGCAACGAGGCGACTAAGTGATGTCTTACTTAGTGTTGTATTTTATCAAAGTATCGTATAATTAGAAAGATGAATGGTGAAGTAAAATTAGGTGGCACAAAAGCAACGTGATCTGATTAGGGCGTAGAACCAACTTATAAGGTCACAGATTGTTTATTGGAAGCATTTAGTATGCAAAACTTTTTAAAGGAAGCCTTTGAAATGAAAACAGATTATAACGTCTATCAGTTAAAGCGGTTTCTGCATATTTAGTCTTTATATTCAAGGTTTTGGTCATTTTATTTTGGCTACGTTAGATCATACGAGCTGAAAATGTAGATGAGATGAATACTATTAAACAGATTTTAACAAACACCATTTCTGAATTTAGATTGCCTCCTATTCCCAAAAGTGAAAGAAACAGAATACAAAAGTACACTACATATATATATATATATATTTATATATGTGGTAAATCAGTTGACAAAACCGTGAACCTTCATTGATTAAAGTAGTTAGAACATGTTATTAATGCCTAACCATTCCCAACCTCGACGAATGGTGTCAGATGCCGTACAAGTAGGTTGGGAGAAAACTAGGTGTGGTCAAAATATTTTACTAGATTTTGCCATTGGAAATTTTGATGGACTGTCTATACAAGATTCCTAAATTAATTATGAGGTTAAGGTAGGTAGTGTTACAACCTGTTACCAGTATTCTGAAGATATCAGTGTATGAGTTTATTGCTTGATTAATTTCTACAGTCCCCTCCTCATACGTAGCCAAGAAACGAACTACGGGTTTCTTAACAAATGAAAACAGTTGACATTATACGAACGATGTGCGAATTTAGGTATTAAGCAAAAAACACCTTACTTTGACTGGTTTCATAATCAATGTCTGAAAATAATACCCCAAACGACCGACCGAAATTACGAAATATCACCGATGAAACGGAGAACTGACGTTCAATGAGCTCGATGCGATCTCTCATATCATCCAGCATGTCAGTCATGTCAGCCCATTTCCTAATACGATGAAAAAACTGTACAGATTAATTAGTAAGAGCAACATACCTGAACCATACTCATTTTGGCTGCAGATAATAATCGTGACAGGGATACATAAGCGTTATCGACATGTCCAGAAATTCCGTCTGATAGACAACGGCGGCAACATTCATAGAGGGAACACACAAGCCACTGAATTTGGTCGCCATCAATCGAATAATTTGCCCAAACATCTTGTTAAATCAAAAAATCAAATTTAGCTAGTTACCCTTGTACTTTTCCCAAGCTTCCTCTCTAACAGATCCATCTATACATAAATCCTGACAGAGGTCATCAAAACGCTTTTCAACCGGCTCTTCATATTCAAAATCTAGATTATGCATCTCCAATTTACTCAAAACGCCGCTCGCGCGAACAAAGCTGATGGGTTATAACAAAACTTCAAACTTCGTCGTCTAACAAATTGCAAAAGTTGTTTTTTTTAATTTTATCTTTAACTTATAGAAGATGGTTTTCAGATGTCATATAGTTTGGATCATTGCAATGATCAAATGGTCTAAAAGGTTATGAACAGTATAAAAGCTTCCGTATCTAGTAGAAGGAGATCACCGATGCCTTGAAGTAGTAATAGAGTTATATTCAGTGATGCAAAGGAAATATTGGTAATTTAAATTGATATACTGTCGCGAGTCCCGAATAATATGTTAAGCTGTTTTTTATAGGACTTTTGGGAAACCAATCGAACCACCTCAGCCGGCAGCGGATTCGAGAACTGAACTACCCATAAGGAGTCGAATGTGTTCCAAAAATCCATTCTTCTATGTTGAGTCTATGATTTCTTGTTTTTACTCCTAACCCTTGCCTTGAGACTGTGCTTAAGGGGGTGCCTAGGAGTATTCAGGATACTATGCCATTAGAAAGTCACCTATGAGGTTCCTTTGCTCCAATAGACAAAGATTCATGGAGCTGAGGCGCTCTCCAGGAACTTTAAAGCAAATAACTTATCGTTTATAGCAAATGGGTTGAGGCACAGGTAATACGTTATTCAGAACCTTTGATTCAGGAGCAGGTGCGGAAATTTCTATGGGAGTTTGGAGATGTTGTCGTCATATTAAGACCATTGACTAAATATAACTGCTATTATCACGAGGACAATCCTATGTAGCTAGTGCCAACTTCTAGTATCCACTGTCTTTGTCCCCAGTTAGTTTAAAACCACCGATTTTTCAAGCTTGCATTATGGTGCTAGAAACTGTTCTGGGTATTTGCTATCTGATATTCAACGTGAGTGAATATAACTAAAATTTATCAGCGTAGAGGTTTTGGGGCTGAATAGTTTGGTTGTGCTAACTAAAATCCGTCCCAAATACCATAACAAATCCGACACCATCGTGAGCTACAAATATTCCTCATCATCCCTGCTGGTAAAGACTAGACAGCAGAAATCATTTATAAAGTACGAAGGGATTGGGAATAACGTTTTCAACGTACTTGTAGTTACATCGCTACGGAATCCTGGTACTTATCCCTTGAAAAGTTTGCCAAAAACTAGCAATAGGATATAGCGACAAGTATATTTAGTAAACTTAATGACCACGATAAAATACCATATCTTTCGTCCTTGTGAAACGTATGCGTTATCAAATATTAAATGTCTCTCGTTTATTCGTATCATTTGTGAATGGGCTTCGTCTGTAATTAATTGATACTCCTGTTACATTTGAGGTTTAAATCAATGCTACTTACATCGTACTCAGTGATTAAAAAGCACAACAGTGCTGTGATGCTCTTTGAGGGAGACTCTACACTATGTGGGGTTACCGGTCGAAACTAATAAAAATTCATTGGATTAGTTTTTCTCTTCACGCCGCCGGTACTAAAGGTGAGATAATATATTTAAGGATTGAGCGAACTCCATTTGCAGCGGTTATCCCATTGGTAACATCTAAATAACAGTCTTTGCGTGACCGTTGTTTGTAATGGTTTAGCTTCGTTAATCAATCGCCTTGATAACTGTTATTATATAAATCTCAACGGTGTTTGAAATCGGAAGACGGTGAGAAGCGGTGACTACATTTAGTTTATTAGCTGATCGCACGGATCACAAAGCTACAAGTAAATCTAGCGAGTTTGAAGTCGAGAGAGGAATATGTGTATGTAGGTAAATACAGAGGTGAATTTCTAGTCAAATCGAACAAGGACACAGCAAGGGAAAGTCTATCAATAGGATTTGAGTAAATATATACATGGGGGAGAGAATGATTCATTGAGCGGTGTTTAAGCTATCAACATTTTAGCTAGAGAGAGATGTGTGTGTAGACTGTCACGTGATCAATCGTACACGTTTATATGGACAAAATAATGATCATAATGATATAAATATGCTTATTGTTACTGTTCTTATAACATTGTCTGTTAAATAAGTCAACAAAGATGCTTGGCAAAATTTAACCATAATCGAAATTGGTTGTAGGAGAGTTAATATATGTTACTATTTTGTCACCCGATATACAACTTCATTATGCGTGTTATTTCGTAGTGACATTGGCCTCTGACCACATAATCCTCAAAGTTGAACACGAGACAACTGGGAAAACAGATATCTAACATTGAACTCGGAGAAGAACCCAACAGTTGAAAAAGCGGGGAAGAATAATTCGATTTATCGAATGGCCTCAGCTTCGCAGGCGTGTCCATTCTTGTGTGTTGTCCTATCTCTTTCATTCATATTAAATATATCGTATTATCTCCATCTCCATCATATATTGACGATTGTTACGGTACGATGAGCCAGTGTAGAAAATGATGTGGCTTCCACGGAAGATCTTATAGATTAAGTAGTCACATCATAACAAATCTACAACTT